ATTTCGACCCACTGTGCACCGTGAGTTGAACGATCTTTGCGACAAAAAATGTAATTGTCTATGTGCAGGTCTTCTGTACTAATACTATCATTCAACCAAGTCTCTGTGTAACCAAACGAAATTTCTGTATCTATATGACGCAAATTTTACAATAATCACACGATGATTCCTTTGCCTTTTGTTAAATTTCCCCAACCGGTGAGATCTATCGATGATTGCGATATCTGGATTCCAATTGGGAATTTTTAGTTTATTAATCGTCTCCAGAATTTTTTGATTAACTAATTCGGCTGTTTCGTTTTCCTCTTCCGGGATTCCGTGAAATAGTAGACAATTTCTACGAGAATAATTCTCTAGGTCGTCAATGCGCCTCTCAGAGTCTTCAATTATCAATGCGAAAGATTCCAACTTTTCATTTATTTCGTATTGAAATTTGTGGAATTTTTCACTTAAGGCTTGTAAAGAGATGTGCTCACCTCCTGAACCTTGGGTTTCGACAGCATTCTTTAATTGACGCTTGAAATCCTCCATATTTTTGGCAAAATCATCCTTTAATGTAATGTAATTCTGTGCTGTTTATTGCCATTATAGACACGTTTGAAGAACAGGTTTCCAGACCGTCCGTACACACGTTTATCGAATGGCGCGTGCCGACCACAAAAATTATAACAAATAAAACTGTTCACGAGTTTCGCCTACACTTTTACTCGCACAGAACTATGTATGGACTTAATATGGTGTCGATAATAAGTTGTTTAAATTAAAGGTCGAAATTTTTACCCACTATTTACAAATTATCGCGGACCGATCACACAGTGCGTTCGCTTAACTAGACATGAAATTTTGAGTTTTCGTTAGAACTTGTGTGGTGCTACTCAGAACTCATATCAGAACTCCCGGAACTTTTCAAAATTTAAGGTGGACATATCAAATTAGGGCTGATCGATTTCGTTATTAAAAATCGATTTTGGCCCGAAGCCGTAAAACTAATATTTAAGAAACTGAGCGATTTCACCCCGGAGGGGTGAAAATTTTGAAAAGTTCCGGGAGTTCTGGCAGGAGTTCTGAATAGCACCTCACGAGTTCTAAAAGATATTTGAATAAAGTTTTTAGATACGTGCATTCTAGTGATGTAAAAAAAGTAACAATTCGTTATACGAGTACTCGTTACTCCGCGAGATCCGAAGTAACTGTTACCGTATCACATCGGTACCAGTTACTTTGGATCTAACAGTTACTTTTTCCAAAGGCCAAGTATTGTTGGATAGGCGAAATCGACTTAAAAGTCGAAATGCGCAACAAAATTTATTTTTACATTGCAATAATAAGCTGTAATATCTTTTGTTGTTGTTTTAATATTTTTATTTTATTTTATTATTGCTTGTTTTATAGAAGAAGTTTTGTTTTCCATTGTTAATGTGTTACTACTTTCAAATATTTTTGTTATATAATAAGTGAAACGTAAGTTATTAATAATTAAATAATAATAATTAAGAAAAATTCTTCGTTATAATATGCAGTGAAAAAGTAAATCCCATAACCTACACTCTATTTTTTGATATTAGTGCACAGTGCATNTTTTTTTTTTTTTTTTTTTTTTTTTTTTTTTTTTTTTTTTTTTTTTTTTTTTTTTTTTTTTTTTTTTTTTTTTTTTTTTTTTTTTTTTTTTTTTTTTTTTTTTTTTTTTTTTTTTTTTTTTTTTTTTTTTTTTTTTTTTTTTTTTTTTTTTTTTTTTTTTTTTTTTTTTTTTTTTTTTTTTTTTTTTTTTTTTTTTTTTTTTTTTTTTTTTTTTTTTTTTTTTTTTTTTTTTTTTTTTTTTTTTTTTTTTTTTTTTTTTTTTTTTTTTTTTTTTTTTTTTTTTTTTTTTTTTTTTTTTTTTTTTTTTTTTTTTTTTTTTTTTTTTTTTTTTTTTTTTTTTTTTTTTTTTTTTTTTTTTTTTTTTTTTTTTTTTTTTTTTTTTTTTTTTTTTTTTTTTTTTTTTTTTTTTTTTTTTTTTTTTTTTTTTTTTTTTTTTTTTTTTTTTTTTTTTTTTTTTTTTTTTTTTTTTTTTTTTTTTTTTTTTTTTTTTTTTTTTTTTTTTTTTTTTTTTTTTTTTTTTTTTTTTTTTTTTTTTTTTTTTTTTTTTTTTTTTTTTTTTTTTTTTTTTTTTTTTTTTTTTTTTTTTTTTTTTTTTTTTTTTTTTTTTTTTTTTTTTTTTTTTTTTTTTTTTTTTTTTTTTTTTTTTTTTTTTTTTTTTTTTTTTTTTTTTTTTTTTTTTTTTTTTTTTTTTTTTTTTTTTTTTTTTTTTTTTTTTTTTTTTTTTTTTTTTTTTTTTTTTTTTTTTTTTTTTTTTTTTTTTTTTTTTTTTTTTTTTTTTTTTTTTTTTTTTTTTTTTTTTTTTTTTTTTTTTTTTTTTTTTTTTTTTTTTTTTTTTTTTTTTTTTTTTTTTTTTTTTTTTTTTTTTTTTTTTTTTTTTTTTTTTTTTTTTTTTTTTTTTTTTTTTTTTTTTTTTTTTTTTTTTTTTTTTTTTTTTTTTTTTTTTTTTTTTTTTTTTTTTTTTTTTTTTTTTTTTTTTTTTTTTTTTTTTTTTTTTTTTTTTTTTTTTTTTTTTTTTTTTTTTTTTTTTTTTTTTTTTTTTTTTTTTTTTTTTTTTTTTTTTTTTTTTTTTTTTTTTTTTTTTTTTTTTTTTTTTTTTTTTTTTTTTTTTTTTTTTTTTTTTTTTTTTTTTTTTTTTTTTTTTTTTTTTTTTTTTTTTTTTTTTTTTTTTTTTTTTTTTTTTTTTTTTTTTTTTTTTTTTTTTTTTTTTTTTTTTTTTTTTTTTTTTTTTTTTTTTTTTTTTTTTTTTTTTTTTTTTTTTTTTTTTTTTTTTTTTTTTTTTTTTTTTTTTTTTTTTTTTTTTTTTTTTTTTTTTTTTTTTTTTTTTTTTTTTTTTTTTTTTTTTTTTTTTTTTTTTTTTTTTTTTTTTTTTTTTTTTTTTTTTTTTTTTTTTTTTTTTTTTTTTTTTTTTTTTTTTTTTTTTTTTTTTTTTTTTTTTTTTTTTTTTTTTTTTTTTTTTTTTTTTTTTTTTTTTTTTTTTTTTTTTTTTTTTTTTTTTTTTTTTTTTTTTTTTTTTTTTTTTTTTTTTTTTTTTTTTTTTTTTTTTTTTTTTTTTTTTTTTTTTTTTTTTTTTTTTTTTTTTTTTTTTTTTTTTTTTTTTTTTTTTTTTTTTTTTTTTTTTTTTTTTTTTTTTTTTTTTTTTTTTTTTTTTTTTTTTTTTTTTTTTTTTTTTTTTTTTTTTTTTTTTTTTTTTTTTTTTTTTTTTTTTTTTTTTTTTTTTTTTTTTTTTTTTTTTTTTTTTTTTTTTTTTTTTTTTTTTTTTTTTTTTTTTTTTTTTTTTTTTTTTTTTTTTTTTTTTTTTTTTTTTTTTTTTTTTTTTTTTTTTTTTTTTTTTTTTTTTTTTTTTTTTTTTTTTTTTTTTTTTTTTTTTTTTTTTTTTTTTTTTTTTTTTTTTTTTTTTTTTTTTTTTTTTTTTTTTTTTTTTTTTTTTTTTTTTTTTTTTTTTTTTTTTTTTTTTTTTTTTTTTTTTTTTTTTTTTTTTTTTTTTTTTTTTTTTTTTTTTTTTTTTTTTTTTTTTTTTTTTTTTTTTTTTTTTTTTTTTTTTTTTTTTTTTTTTTTTTTTTTTTTTTTTTTTTTTTTTTTTTTTTTTTTTTTTTTTTTTTTTTTTTTTTTTTTTTTTTTTTTTTTTTTTTTTTTTTTTTTTTTTTTTTTTTTTTTTTTTTTTTTTTTTTTTTTTTTTTTTTTTTTTTTTTTTTTTTTTTTTTTTTTTTTTTTTTTTTTTTTTTTTTTTTTTTTTTTTTTTTTTTTTTTTTTTTTTTTTTTTTTTTTTTTTTTTTTTTTTTTTTTTTTTTTTTTTTTTTTTTTTTTTTTTTTTTTTTTTTTTTTTTTTTTTTTTTTTTTTTTTTTTTTTTTTTTTTTTTTTTTTTTTTTTTTTTTTTTTTTTTTTTTTTTTTTTTTTTTTTTTTTTTTTTTTTTTTTTTTTTTTTTTTTTTTTTTTTTTTTTTTTTTTTTTTTTTTTTTTTTTTTTTTTTTTTTTTTTTTTTTTTTTTTTTTTTTTTTTTTTTTTTTTTTTTTTTTTTTTTTTTTTTTTTTTTTTTTTTTTTTTTTTTTTTTTTTTTTTTTTTTTTTTTTTTTTTTTTTTTTTTTTTTTTTTTTTTTTTTTTTTTTTTTTTTTTTTTTTTTTTTTTTTTTTTTTTTTTTTTTTTTTTTTTTTTTTTTTTTTTTTTTTTTTTTTTTTTTTTTTTTTTTTTTTTTTTTTTTTTTTTTTTTTTTTTTTTTTTTTTTTTTTTTTTTTTTTTTTTTTTTTTTTTTTTTTTTTTTTTTTTTTTTTTTTTTTTTTTTTTTTTTTTTTTTTTTTTTTTTTTTTTTTTTTTTTTTTTTTTTTTTTTTTTTTTTTTTTTTTTTTTTTTTTTTTTTTTTTTTTTTTTTTTTTTTTTTTTTTTTTTTTTTTTTTTTTTTTTTTTTTTTTTTTTTTTTTTTTTTTTTTTTTTTTTTTTTTTTTTTTTTTTTTTTTTTTTTTTTTTTTTTTTTTTTTTTTTTTTTTTTTTTTTTTTTTTTTTTTTTTTTTTTTTTTTTTTTTTTTTTTTTTTTTTTTTTTTTTTTTTTTTTTTTTTTTTTTTTTTTTTTTTTTTTTTTTTTTTTTTTTTTTTTTTTTTTTTTTTTTTTTTTTTTTTTTTTTTTTTTTTTTTTTTTTTTTTTTTTTTTTTTTTTTTTTTTTTTTTTTTTTTTTTTTTTTTTTTTTTTTTTTTTTTTTTTTTTTTTTTTTTTTTTTTTTTTTTTTTTTTTTTTTTTTTTTTTTTTTTTTTTTTTTTTTTTTTTTTTTTTTTTTTTTTTTTTTTTTTTTTTTTTTTTTTTTTTTTTTTTTTTTTTTTTTTTTTTTTTTTTTTTTTTTTTTTTTTTTTTTTTTTTTTTTTTTTTTTTTTTTTTTTTTTTTTTTTTTTTTTTTTTTTTTTTTTTTTTTTTTTTTTTTTTTTTTTTTTTTTTTCTCCTTTTCCTTTTCTTTCTTCTTTTTCAGTTCTCAGGTGTTTCACCTGACACCATGTAACAACTTGAATTAAACGACTTGTTTTAAAAGTACTTAGTTGTTTTATTATTATAAAAATATCTTACACTCCATCTTATACATGTTGTCTCTCACATCTTCTAAAAAGGACCGAGAGCCCTCTATCGACACACCACGACATCTATCTTAAAGTTAACTGACTAACGTACTACAAATTAAGAAAAATTCTTCGTTATAATATGCAGTGAAAAAGTAAATCCCATAACCTACACTCTATTTTTTGATATTAGTGCACAGTGCATAATAGCGTAACAAACACAATATAATATACGTACAGTATTTGTTTTCAAAAATAAGTGTAATATAAAATAAATTCATATAAGTATGTAGTCCAACTGAAACGAGTAATCGAACCTCGAGGGCAAACTAGTACTGGAACCTCAAGCGCAAACGATTACTTGTAACGAGTAACGAGTACAAAGTAACGAATAGTTTTTCTGAAAGTAACGGATAGTTACAAATACTAAAAAGTAACCAAACTTTACATCACTAGTGCATTCATTTAATAGATATTGCAAATTTTGTGATCTTGTTTTGTGAACTTAGCACCCAAAAAGTCGATATCGATTTTTTTGCCTATTTTTGCGGAACTTTTAATAAAAATGGTAAAGAACTATAGGACTCAATGGGGTGCAATGGGAACAAGAGAAATTTGAAATTTAAAAAAAATGAAGTGCTAACTTCACAGACGTCATATACCGGGGAGTAGAATTGAATTCAGCTAGTACGGAAGAGGTAGAAATTCGCAGAAGAATATATACAGCAGACAAACCTATGCGAAGTTAGCCCCCAATTAGATAGGATTTTACATGTATAGTATTTTGATTATAACAAGAGAACCAGTCAACCGATTTCGATAAACAATCTCTCATTCGAAAGGTCAATCCTTGGCCAATACGAAAGTGGAAATGCCCTTTTCGAAATCTCTCTCGAATTCCGCTAAAATGCCAAAATAATGCGAAGGTACACGAAAATAACACAAAAATGACATTTTTTTAAGTGGTGATAACTCGTAAACGATGTACCCGATGATCAAGATCTATACGTCATTCGATTCGTCATAGTTTCTTCTATCGAAATCTCTCCAATTCTCTCCCGTTAACCTTGTACAGCCCACGGAATGACACGGTGTTCGGCTCGTGGTTTACGCACTTATGAACGCCCGAAAGTCTAGCCCCCAATGTAAAAAAATTAATTTAAACTAAATCGACTATAATAAGAGAACGGTTTGACGGATTTTAATGTTCTATATGTCAATCGATAGCTTTCGCCTGGCTGAATGCAGTTGTCGAAATGCCCGATTCGAAGTATTTAAGAATTTTGATTAAAACACAAAAAACGAATTAATCACACACATCAACTATCTCCTTAATCAATTGATCAATTTTAGTCGTCAACGTCTCGATCGAAAGTATGAACCTAACGCATGCGAAGGCGGAAATGCCCGATCTCAAAATTTACTAATTACCTACGTACGGTTTTTTAAATGACTCCACGTATCTACCGACTGGAAGTCTAGCCTCTAATAAGAAAAAATTAATTTGATTAAATTCGCTATAACTAAAGAACGGTTTGACCAATTTTAATCTTTTATATCTCAAACGAAAACATGCGTCTGGCTGAATAATTATGTCGAAATGCCCGATTCGAAATATTTAAGAATTTTGAATAAAACACTAAAAATTAATTAATCAAATAAATAAATTATCTCATTTATTAATTGACCAATTTTAGTCAATGATTTTAGTCAACAATGATGTAAATACCCGATCTCAAAATTCGCTGATTAAATGCGTACGGTTGTTTAAACAACTCAGTGAGTGGTCTGATTTTGTCTATCACATTCTTCAACATTTTTATTTTTATTGTCACTTATGCATTCTTTATGAAATATTCGGAAAACATTTTAACTCTTGTAATGAAGAGAAAAATTGTATAATATATACAATTTGAAGAAAAAGTTGGAAAAGTTGAAGAAAAATTGGATATAATAGAAAATTTTAAAAGAATTGTAAAAATTTAAAGAAATGTAAATTAGCACCTTGCCCCTGAAAACTTTATTTATATTTCAATATAAACAACAGAGTTATGGGTTGGGGCGCTTTTTGTTTGAAACTATATACAACTTAAAATATAAAATTTGAAAGAGAAGAGTAGAAAACTAGTAAGAACAACAATAAGTTATACGAAAGGTAGAAATACTAAAACCAAAAATGAAAAAAAGATTTTCTGTTTTAGTACAAATACATTTTAAATCAGTCTATTACTTTGTTCGTTTGTTTACATCCTTTATTATGATTAGTAGAATATATCAAACATTTTTTTTTCATTTTAAGTTGTTCTCTGGAAATAATCCGTTTACAAAAAATTATTTTTTATGTAAGTGGGGAGTAGACTTCCAGGCAGTAAAGTCACCGGAGTCGTTTAAACAATCGTACGTACTTAATTAGCAAATTTAGAGATCGGGCATTTCCATTTTCGCATTCACCATGGATCATGTTTCCATGGAGATGTTGACGACTAAAATTGGTCAAATAATAAATGAGATAATTGATGTGTTTGATTAATTCGTTTTTTGTGTTTTAATCCAAATTCTTAAATACTTCGAATCGGGCATTTCGACAACCGCATTCAGCCAGGTGATAGCTATCGATTGAGATATAAAACATTAAAATCCGTCAAACCGTTCTCTAATTATAGTCGATTTAGTTTAAATTATTTTTTTTATAATGGGGGCTAGACTTCTAGTCGTTAGATTCGTGGGGTCATTTCAATAGCCGTACGCAGGTAATTAGTAAATTTTGAAATCGGGCATTTCCACCTTCGCATTCATTGTAGATCATACTTTCGATCGAGATGTTGATGACTAAAATTGGTCAATTAGTTAAGGAGATAATTGATGTGTTTGATTAATTTGTTTTTTGTGTTTTAATCAAAATTCTTAAATACTTCGAATCGGGCATTTCGACATAATTATTCAGCCAGACGCATGTTTTCGTTTGAGATATAAAAGATTAAAATTGGTCAAACCGTTCTCTTATTATAGTCGATTTAGTTTAAATTAATTTTTTTATATTGGGGGCTAGACTTTCGGGCGTTCATAAGTGCGTAAACCACGAGCCGAACACCGTGTCATTCCGTGGGCTGTACAAGGTTAACGGGAGAGAATTGAAATCGGGCATTTTGTGATTTTGATAGAAGAAACTATGACGAATCGAATGACGTATAGATCTTGATCATCGGGCACATCGTTTACGAGTTATCACCACTTAAAAAAGGTCATTTTTGTGTTATTTTCGTGTACCTTCGCATTATTTTGGCGTTTTAGCGGAATTCGACAGAGATTTCGAATCGGGCATTTCCACTTTCATATTGGCCAAGGATTGACCTTTCGAATGAGACGTTGTTTATCGAAATCGGTTGACTGGTTCTCTTATTATAATCAAAATACTATACATGTAAAATCCTATCTAATTTCGGGCTAGAAAAATTGGAAAAAAAACTTCGCATAGGTAGCAGACAAAGCAATAACAAGCTTCATGTTTACAAAACAGTAGTACAGCCTATTTCAAACTATGGAAGTGAGGCTTTGACTATGACAGAAAGGAAGAAGGACATGCTTAATAGCTTCGAAAAAAAGGTTTTGAGAAAGACAATGTGACCAATTAAGTCTGGAGACCCAAATTTAATTACGAACTGTATAATTTTTTGATACTATCGTTTACTCTCAGAATTTATTATATTACGACCGTTACAGTGAGTGGGACATGTGGCGTGAATGGATGGGCAAAGAGGATGTTGGGCAGCCGAATGTGTAAGAAAAGACCAGTCGGAAGACCCTGGAAACGATAGAAGGATGAAAAATAGGAGGCTGCACGCTATCTTCTGAGTATTCGAGTGTGGATGAGGATGGCAGATATCAGTTTTGTCTCTTCTTTTGTCCGCCATTCATATTGCAATTTTTCTCAAATTATTTTTCGTTTTTCCTCTCTTTTTATTAATCGACCGTTATTATGGATTTTTTCACACTCTACATGAGTTTTATATAGTTAATCATGACATTCAGCTGAAGATGAGAGATATCTCTGAAACATGTACTGAGCATATTGAATTAAAGCAAGTTTTGAAGTTAAATTTTTTGTTTCAATTATTCTATACTTGCAACATGGATCTCTTGGAAGGAGATAGATAGGTATGAAGGCAAAAAATAAAAGAGCCCAACGCCCAATTTGTAATAACATACAAAAAATACACCTGGACACAAACAACAAAGAATCTAAAGTCCATAACAGACTATGCAATAATGACAAAAAAACAAATTTCAATCTACATGATTTGAGAGTGTGTAGATGAGCAAGATGCAGCTGCGACCCCACCTGTTAAGAGCAAATATAGTGTTTGCGAAAAAATACGAATACAGAATTAAGAAATGGCTTCTACATTGCTGTTGCATGTTTTTTTCTTAGTTCAGTAGGGACTTTCCCAACTGATTTCTGTTTATTTTGTGGTTTGTCTCTATGTATATTAACTGATTCAAAAATATCAATGAGAAAGAAAGTGCTGTTGAAGTTAGAAAACTTTTAATTAGTATAACATCGAAAAGAAAAGAAATTATATCGAGAAATTGCCAAAATGTAAATCTGAGCTGAGCAACAGTCCAGACCGTTATCAAAAATTACATTGAGACTGATTTCTTCGATAGCAAAGTGTGTACAGGGCGACCAAAGAAAGTAGAAGAGACGTTAGGCCTACATTAGAAAAAACCCTAGAATTAACGCACCAAACTTAGTCGATCACATCGCGATTGTGTGTAAAGTCTTTTTCATGGAAATTTTTAAGAGATGTTGTTGAGGATAGGGTGAGTAGGTGTTTAGCGAAGCGTCTTCCTCCTACGACAGCATTTGGAACTTGGAATGTTGTAGATTCGGAGGATCTATGCGTATTACTTCCAGTTCAGTTTGTAGAGGGAAGCCTTTACCCATTTATATAGTATCATTCTAGGTCGCATTTAATTTCGGTATATATTGGGATTGTAATCTATTGTATTGATGGCCAAATGTCCCAGTTCATTTCTTTTATAAAAAGTGCTCCAAGCATTTAATGTTTGCGTCTAGTTTCGTGGTGGTAGTATAATGACTAAAACTACA